GAGGAATCGATCGAGAAGATAGGGACTCAACCTTTCCTGTCTCTCTCCTAATGTTCATCCAAATGGGCAGTTGAAAGATAGCAACCAAAACCGGCGCACAATAGCGCATGGTTAATGGTTGTACAACCGAAACTGGAGGTCCGCAATAATGCTTTGTTCATTCCGCATTTGGATGCTCACTCTACTCACAGAGGCAAATGGGGTCCGATTGGGTGCCGTATCCGTTGAAATTGGTATATATATATATATATATATATATATATTTCACACAAGACTGTATATGGCATTTTAAAGGTTGCTGATTTCCCCTTAAGATAGTCCCGTCAAGGCGGACTACCATATGCTTGTGTTTTGCCTATCAAGTTATGAGGCTGTTAACTGAAGTGTTGTGCTCAGCATTCACTGTATCTTCGCCTGTTGTAGATGGTCTAATCACCTGTTTTACAGATCGTTCCACTGTTTGTTGTTTCCTGTCGGTTGTTCTTACTAGATACAACAGTTTTTAGGTGTTTCCCGATGCAGATGCATCTTCCATTTCAGGTGCATGTTTGGTCCACCAGGTCTCAGATTGCACGCAAACTGGCCAATAGTACTCTTCAAATAAATTCAGGCTTCGCAACGCTCGCCACTGGCTGGTTTCGATTATTAGTACTCGTAAAAGGTGTTCTGTATGACTAACCCTAGCGGCGTCTGGGAAAGAATTCATTCAGCATGTTTTAACGAATTACTGCCATCTAATAGTAGTTTGGTCGCGCATTTCGAACGTCCATTGTGCTGTCCGCTTGGTCAGAGTCCATGCCATTCAAATAGTACCTATTATGAAATATATATTTCGTGCCCGCAAAGAAGTGGGTCTGAGTACAAGATTCAGTCTGTCTTAATCACCTCAGTGATGGGATTCGATGTTTAAAGGCCCCTTAGACATGCCTCGCTCGATACTAGTTGGAATTTTTTTATTACACACCAGTGTGTGATGAACAGCAATCGGGGCGGACCCCATAGTCACGAAGATCTGCTGTTCAGCAATGGTGACCGGCAACTTAAGCCCAGTGGCTTGGAGTAGCCATCCACATAAGGCCCCGCTGGCTCAGGTATGGTATTGAACCGAACGACGGCGAAGCTGCATACCGTGAGCATTGGTGTCTCCAACTCTTACAACATAGATGTGGGCAGCTCCATGCAGAAACCATATCGTTTTTTACATAAACGGTCGTTCGATGCCTCTAGGTTACTGTCCGATGAGGCGTACGCACAGATAACAAAGAAATTATCTGTCTGAGCGATTTTAGCAAACAGCACAGCTTTGGCTGCGATAAGCTGTTTCAACCGGCCTGTCTTACCGTTATTCAGAACGCATCACCTAACAAGCGACGATGCACCTCGCTCAGCAGGTCACTGAGAAATGGGCTGTGTACTCAATAATCCCACCTGATGAGGTTAATCATCATTAATCGTATATCAAGAATGCTGTGCATTCTGCTGACCCACTGAGTGGTGCACTGGCATGCCGCGTCGTGGCTGCTTACCTTGCCACTGGTTCGCTACGCCTCGTTGACGCACACCGAACGGTTGCGGTCAGCCACGATCATAACAAAAAGGCGGTTCATAACGAGATGTAAATGCAACCTAAGCCTACACAGGTACTGTGTAATCTGGTAGTGGCCATCAGCAGATAACGATGGACACAATTTGGGGGGGGGCAATAAACGTTCAGTGGTAGGATTCGGACACAAACCCTGGAAGCCAGTTTGATGATGATCTATACCGCCTGAATATGATCATCGGTTTCAAGACACTTCGTAAATATAGTTTCGATTCTCCTGGTTGAACATCAATGATATGCTTCGTTTTAGTATGTTAACTGCATTTGTCACCGTCTGAAAACGTATGACCACTGACCACATTTCTTCCTGTTGCGCTTACTAAATGGACGTGGCCATTTTACATTTTATTCCTGATGTGCACCATGTTCGAGGTTCGAACCTTAAGACTACTGTCCAATATTTGAAGGTATTAGGTTGTTATCATTTGACTGGAGAATCCTTGGAGCCATGGGTTTGTTTTCTTTCACAGATAGCTTTTGTTCTACTAATTTTGATGAAATTGGTTTTTTTTGTTTCTGTCTTTTCGCCCTTTTCCAGTTGAAAAAGACGCTTCCTGATGATGCTCAAGATGAAACTGTTCACTCCCTTATGCTTCAGTGCATTCAACAATTTATTCGATTCAGCTGGCCAATAGTATCTCCTACGCTGTTGCCCTCCTTGATTTCACCGCTTGTGGCATTTGTTGATCTGACTCATGCAACAACCGTTTGTGAGGTTAACGCGACGCACGACCAGGAGAATTCCGCTCATTGTCCGGAAACCATAACCGAGGTTCTCACGGCTCTCGTCGATTTAGAACCCAGAATACTGTCAGACATTCTTATTCCGGTCTGCACGACTGTTCCAGCTTTAAAACAATACATACCTGCCTCCTGTGAATAAAATACTTCATGCTTTGTAACTTTTTGCTACCATTTATCTCACTCAAGATCTGTGCTGCCAGGGTTTGTTTTTTTTTGTTCAGTTGAACGTGTCATTTCGTTTCGATGCGTCGGATCACACCTGATTCGGAAAAACATGGCCATAACAACACAGATGCGTGTATTGTGACACACCTGTGCAAAGTTGACTTGATCGGTTAAGATCGTGTCTCCGAAGCAGCGTACGAGCTGTGGGTTCATGATTTAGTCAGATTTTGTTGTTGTTGTGGTGGTGGTGGTTGTGCTCAAAAAAAGAGCACTGATCAACCGTACCGTCAATGTGTCGGAACTCATCATTCATGTGCACTACCTTTTTTGCATTTTCCAACCTCCGTTTGAAACGCAAACCATTGGGTTTGGAGTCGGATTTCATGCCTGTCAGGTGCACTCTCGATGATCATGACTTTAAGAGCCTAGTTACTGCAATGTGTATCCAAACAATCGATCAGTTTAGAGCATTCGGGAAATTTAAAGTTTATTCAGCAAATACCGACGAGGGCGGGAAAAGTAAACTAAGGAATCTCGATGTGATACAAAACGGATGTGAAGGGGTTGATGTAGCATTCTCCTCTAAGTATTCTTTTAAATTTAACACTCGAATTAAATGTCCTAATAGTTTTTAGTGCGATCGAAATGTTTGTGATAACCAACAAAGAGCACTGGACAGCTGTTTCATCCTGTTTGGGACTCGTCAGCAGTGTGTACTTTTTGAGTCCCTGTCAGGACTCGAACCGCGATTCTTCGGGCTGGGACTTCAAACCCTTACCCTTGAGCTACACGGTCAATGGTTATCACCTTGTGCGAATGGCTCAATCAATTTAGATGGTGAATGTTTGGATTAGCCCATTCGGTTTTTCACAGGCGCCAGGCATGTTCGATGTGATTTTCACTCTTGACGAGTCCCAAACAGAACGAAACAGCTGTCCAGTGCTCTTTGTTGGTTATCACAAACATTTCCATTGCACTAAAATGCAAACAGTGGGGAAGTAACGATCTCTCAAGGAGTGAAACCCACATCGAACATCATCAACAGTGCCTGTGAAAAACCGAATGGGCTGATCCACACGTTCACCATCTAAAGTCCTAACACTTCTTTATATCTCATATCATAGGGGTAAACTGGCTGTAACTTCTTTTTATTATACACCTAATTGTGATGGGCAGCAGACGGGGCGAATCCCATAGTCACGTGCACCTGCTGTTGGGTGGTGGAAACCGG